ATATATTTCTATGTAAAACTTTGATTCCCTATAATGGCCCCACCCTTCCCCCGGGCATCATGATTCCTACAATTTAGAATTTACACTACCCCAGAATGCTTCCACATAAGCTTCACTTTTTCTGGCCCAGTGGTTCTTGAGAAGAAAATTTTCAAAGATTTTTCCTATATATTTCTATATAAAACTTTGATTCCCCATTGTGGCCCCGCCCTTCCCCCGGGGGTCATTATTTGAACAATTTAGAATCTACATTATACCAGGATGCTTCCACATAAGTTTCAGCTTTTCTGGCCCAGTGGTTCTTGAGAAGAAGATTTTCAAAGATTTTTCCAATATATTTCTATGTAAAAATTTGATACCCCATTGTGGCCCCGCCCTTCCCCTGGGGGTCATGATTTGAACAATTTAGAATCTACACTATACCAGGATGCTTCCACATAAGTTTCAGCTTTTCTGGCCCAGTGGTTCCTGAGAAGAAGATTTTCAAAGATTTTTCCTATGTATTTCTATGTAAAACTTTGATTCCCCATTGTGGCCCCGCCTTTCCCCCGGGGGTCATGATTTGAACAATTTAGAATCTACACTATACCAGGATGCTTCCACATAAGTTTCAGCTTTTCTGGCCCAGTGGTTCTTGAGAAGAAGATTTTCAAAGATTTTTCCTATATATTTCTATGTAAAACTTTGATTCCCCATTGTGGCCCCGCCCTTCCCCCGGGGGTCATGATTTGAACAATTTAGAATCTACACTACCCTAGGATGCTTCCACATAAGTTTCAGCTTTTCTGGCCCAGTGGTTCTTGAGAAGAAGATTTTCAAAGATTTTTCCTATATATTTCTATGTAAAAATTTGATTCCCCATTGTGGCCCCGCCCTTCCCCCGGGGGTCATGATTTGAACAATTTAGAATGTACACTACTCTAGGATGCTTCCACGTAAGTTTCAGCTTTTCTGGCCCAGTGGTTCTTGAGAAGAAGATTTTCAAAGATTTTTCCTATATATTTCTATGTAAAACTTTGATTCCCCATTGTGGCCCCGCCCTTCCCCCGGGGGTCATGATTTGAACAATTTAGAATCTACACTACCCTAGGATGCTTCCATATAAGTTTCAGCTTTTCTGGCCCAGTGGTTCTTGAGAAGAAGATTTTCAAAGATTTTTCCTATATATTTCTATGTAAAACTTTGATTCCCCATTGTGGCCCCGCCCTTCCCCCGGGGGTCATGATTTGAACAATTTAGAATCTACACTACCCTAGGATGCTTCCACATAAATTTCAGCTTTTCTGGCCCAGTGGTTCTTGAGAAGAAGATTTTTTAATGACCCCACCCTATTTTTGTCTATTCTTGATTATCTCCCCTTGTGAGGGGACTTGGCCCTTTATTTTAACAATTTAAATTCCCCTTTACCCAAGGATATTTTGTACCAAGTTTGGTTGAATTTGGCCCAGTGGTTCTTGAGAAGAAGTCGAAAATGTGAAAAGTTTACAGACGGACAGACAGACGGACAGACAGCTAGACAGACGGACGGACGACGGACAAAATGTGATCAGAAAAGCTCACTTGAGCCTTCGGCTCAGGTGAGCTAAAAAGTGTACACACGAGAGAGCATTATTTGGGTAGTAACTGTTCAAATCTTATTGGATATTAATCCTCGTGTCCGTATTCTATTGGGTTTTTTTCTTATGGTTTTTTATTCATTCCAAATTTATTATATATTTAATATTTGCTGGTAAATTCAGACAAGACTGAAAACCTTTTGTTTTGAACCCATATTTTTGTCAATTTCTGTGATATAGCTCTTTTATTGTAGCACCTAACTTATTTGTTCTTAGCAATTAGGATACACACCTGTATATTTCAAAATACCTAATATTAAAATATATGAATACCTAAGTGCAAAAAAAAAAACCTGAATTGTGAAAACACAACTCAAAACATCTCAGACTCTGTTTAACCTTTCTTGAATAACAAAAATAAGTATTTAAGGAGAAACCTTTTTGAGTCATGACCAATTAATAATAAGCAAATGCCCATTACGTGTTGGGCCGACTGAAGGTATCCAACAGGCATTGGACAGGTGTCCAATACCTGTTGGGTTGTATTTTGATGAAGGGATTAAACTACCCAAAAAGAATTGAACATGTGTACATTGTCCAATTCTATTTGGGTTTCTTGAATCTCCTCATCAAAATACAACCCAACAGGTAATGGACACCTGTCCAACTCCTCTTGGATATCTACATCCCACCCAACAGGTAATGGACACCTGTCCAATTCTTCTTGGATTTCTTGAATTGTTTCATCAGAATACAACCCAACAGGTAATGGACATCTGTCCAAATCCTCTTGGATATCTACATCCCACCCAACAGGCAATGGACACTCGTCTAATTCTTGGGTTTCTTGAATCTCCTCATCAAAATACAACCCAACAGGTAATGGACACCTGTCCAACTCCTCTTGGACATTTACATCCCACCCAACAGGTAATGGACACCTGTCCAATTCTTCTTGGGTTTCTTGAATTGTTTCATAAGAATACAACCCAACAGGTAATGGACATCTGTCCAAATCCTCTTGGATATCTACATCCCACCCAACAGGAAATGGATACTTGTCCAATTCTTTTTGGGTTTCTTGAATCTCCTCATCAAAATACAACCCAACAGGTAATGGACACCTGTCCAACTCCTCTTGGATATCTACATCCCACCCAACAGGTAATGGACACTTGTCCAATTCTTCTTGGGTTTCTTGAATTGTTTCATAAGTATACCACCCAACAGGTAATGACATCTGTCCAAATCCTCTTGGACATCTACATCCCACCCAACAGGCAATGGACACTTGTCTAATTCTTGGGTTTCTTGAATCTCCTCATCAAAATACAACCCAACAGGTAATGGACACCTGTCCAATTCCTCTTGGATATCTACATCCCACCCAACAGGTAATGGACACCTGTCCAATTCTTCTTGGATTTCTTGAATTGTTTCATCAGAATACAACCCAACAGGTAATGGACATCTGTCCAAATCCTCTTGGATATCTACATCCCACCCAACAGGCAATGGACACTCGTCTAATTCTTGGGTTTCTTGAATCTCCTCATCAAAATACAACCCAACAGGTAATGGACACCTGTCCAACTCCTCTTGGACATTTACATCCCACCCAACAGGTAATGGACACCTGTCCAATTCTTCTTGGGTTTCTTGAATTGTTTCATAAGAATACAACCCAACAGGTAATGGACATCTGTCCAAATCCTCTTGGATATCTACATCCCACCCAACAGGAAATGGATACTTGTCCAATTCTTTTTGGGTTTCTTGAATCTCCTCATCAAAATACAACCCAACAGGTAATGGACACCTGTCCAACTCCTCTTGGATATCTACATCCCACCCAACAGGTAATGGACACTTGTCCAATTCTTCTTGGGTTTCTTGAATTGTTTCATAAGTATACCACCCAACAGGTAATGACATCTGTCCAAATCCTCTTGGATATCTACATCCCACCCAACAGGCAATGGACACTTGTCTAATTCTTGGGTTTCTTGAATCTCCTCATCAAAATACAACCCAACAGGTAATGGACACCTGTCCAACTCCTCTTGGATATCTACATCCCACCCAACAGGTAATGGACACTTGTCCAATTCTTCTTGGGTTTCCTGAATTGTTTCATCAGAATACCACCCAACAGGTAATGTACATCTGTCCAAATCCTCTTGAATATCTACATCCCACCCAACAGGCAATGGACACTTGTCTCATTCTTGGGTTTCTTGAATTGCATCATCAAAATACAACCCAACAGGAAATGTTTACTTGTCCAATTCTTCTTGGGTTTTTTGAATTGCTTCATCAGAATACCAACCAACAGGTATTGGACACTTGTCCAATTCTTCTTGGGTTTCTTGAGGATCTCCTCATCAGAATACTACCCAACATGTAATGGACACCTGTCCAATTCCTCTTGGATATTTCATCCCTTCAATAGTATATAAACTAAAAGGTATTGGACATTCTTCTTGGGTTACTCAAATTTTTTTTTCATAAGAAAGAAAACCCAATAGGTATTGGACATTGGTTCAACTCCTCTTGAATATCTACATCCCAGCATTAGAATAAAACCCAACAGGTAATGTTTACTTGTCCAATTCTTCTTGGGTTACTTATACCCTTCATTAAAATTGTCAAATTTGTCTTGGATATTTATACTCTTGCATTAGATTGCAAACCCAATAAGTGTGACATTTGCCTTCCCTTGAATTCAAATTTATCTGCATAAGCATACATAAGTCCAAAACACATTTAATACTTTAATTCTAACATTCCACATCTCATTCAGTGTACACTTTACAAATGATAGGAAATATATAGGCATTTTGTGCCTAAACTATTTGGCTTTTAAAGAATTTTATAATCATGTTTGCAAAATTTAAATTTAAATATTGGAACTAGGAGCAAGTCATTACAGGTAGAGCAAGATGCTGAAAACCATATTGATAAATAGATCACAACCTTGATAAAATATTTGCCTTCAGTTGCTAAGATTGTGTTGTATTATATAGAAACATTCTATAGTCCTGTTTATTACAGATATATGTACAATGCATATTTTCCCAGTAACAATAAAAATACTTCTGAGATGTAAAAGAATGGATTTAATAGTCGCTGATGTTAAAAAATATTACATGTATCTCACTAATCTGGTTTGGAAATCACAAACTTAGTTTTGAAGCCAATAAATCAGTGTCGCACCAGGAAACTCAGTTACAAGTACAATGAATGAATTCGTTGTATCAAAACTTTAAAATATTTGATGCACTATGTCCAAATCTTTTCAACAAATCGGGATAAAGATATTAAATCAAATCATCACTGTTATAAGTCTTAGAGTGAGAGAAAAGTCATTACATGCCCAAATTTTACATGTAAGGCTTTGATCCTATATTACAATAAATGTCAAAATGGTTTTATTTTGTTTCTGTTCCATACTTTCGTCTTCAGGGTCTCTCATGGCCTATACTGTATGATACCTCCATTGACCCTGCTCTTTTATATTGCCATATGTTTATCCAGTAGCAGTGGTTATGCTCAGGCAATCTTTGAAATCTTCCTCATTTCATGCATCTCCTTCAGTTGTGCTTCTGTCCTTTTTATTCATTCTGCAATTAGATAAAGGCATTTCTTTGCCGTATAAAACATGTTTTTCTCGACTACAGCAAGATCACCCTTTCTGTTGATCAAACCCAACCAAGAAACATATTTCTTATTCAAAAATATGTATTGATAAATAAAATGGAAGAAAAACTAAATTCTATCAACTCTTTTATGTTTCTTCTATGTCTAACTGCATCTTCATCCTACCCCCCATCTGCCATAATTTTATCAAAATGGAATCATCATTCAACACACAAAACAATGTTGCATATTAATTAGACAGTTTGTTAGTTTCTGATTGTTAAGAAGGAGATTTTAAAAAGATTTTACACCTATTCCTTGCAAATTTTAGGCTTCTAATGTAACACTATCAGTACATTAGGGGTCCATAATCTTCGAAAACATCTCTACACTTAATGATAAAGCTTTCACATTAGTATTGTTTTTAGCCCAATGGTTCTGCTAAAGAGGATTTAAAATTGACCCAAACCTTACTAACTGCTTTGAAATTATATTAACAGGGACAGAGACACACTTGACACTCCCACCCCCTTCCTGGGGTATGCTTTGTACCAAATTTAATTAAAATTGACTAAGCTGGATAGAAGTTGAAAATATGAAAAATTACAGTCAAAAAGAATATGAATAACTTTCACCACATCAGACATGATGTAGTGATTCTTAAATAAAATACACCTACAAGATGAAGCTGTTTTATTCCCTTGAAGTGGTGTCTAGTATTGTTTCTTTTCCTGTATGCCACCTCTATCAGAACAAAATGTTATGCACGTATTAACATAACCTATGACCGAATAGTACCCCAATATTTACTTTAAAATTAATTAAGTTCTGGAACCAACTCTCAGACGCCCTTACACTCTCTGTAAAACAAATGATTCAAAACTGGCAAAGGTAAAGGGCATCTGAAGAATATAAAATAAAATGATAGTACAAACAAGCAAACAGTGTGCATGAAAATGTTGGCAAACACTAGAAAAAAATACTAAGGTACTTTCTCAAACTCAACATGAATACTAAAGAGGTTTTATGTAGCTGTATTGCACATACCAAAAGCTTTCTTGCAGTTAAAGGTTGGTTGCCTATTAGTTATGTAGTATGTACAAGTTTTTCCCTCTATCTCTTCTAATTTAAGAAGCGAAAATGTCTCTAAAAATCTTATGGTTGGCATGAAGTATTCCTGATCATTTTACTGATTACTTACAATTGTCCTATTTCTGAGGGTCATCTTCTTCCGAGTGTGTTTTCTGCAATGTTCACAATTGAAGTTCCTGTTTGACCTGTTACATATTGAAAATCCTCAATTAACATGACTATGGTTTTAATTTCCATTGCAATTATTGATTACTTTTATAAAAAAAAATCTAAACCAATTTATTGTAACATAATACTTAGGAAAATATTGATGAAATATCAATGGAAAAAAGGAATCATTATCTCCAGTTATCCTAAAATCACAAGTAAGCATTAATCATATAAATTCACATATGTAAACCCATTAGCTTTGTGTGCTATTAAATCATAGTCATCGTTGTGCAATAAAGGAAATCAAGTACTAATCCACAGCTTGGTGGCAATAAATTACTATCCCCGAGTAAAAAAAACAAGCCCAAATATAGAGGCAAAAATTTAAAAGTAACATTGAAAAAAAAGTTCATCATGAAAAAAAGTCAGGGTATTAACTACAGATGATTCTTTTTAAAATTAAAGTTTAATTTGATTTTTGCTAGTAAAATTTAATCATATATAAAGTGATGATTTAAAAAAATGAAAAAAGATTTTAAATATTCCTTTTCTGGTCATTCACTAGTTCGTCTAATTAAAACGAAACAAAAATCATTTTGTTTTCATCTTGAATCATTTAAAGCCATATATGGCGTATGTACAATGAAAATTATTAGACTAAAATTATAAGAACTTATTATTTGTATCATTACTTTATATAAAGATAGAAATTTTCCGTAAATTACAAAATCTAAGTCAATTACATTATAAAGATATCAAAATTTAGTTTGGATTCTCGGAATTTTCTCAGACTTGGAAGAAAATACAAAAGATTTAAAAAAACACATTACAGAGAAGATAAAATCGTATTATTAGATGAAATGAGGCGTTCTCCGTGCTCCGAATTGTATGAAAAGTTTTAATTTAAATGTATTAACTATATTTCTTTACTTAATTTTGTATTTTTCAAAAATATTTTTTTTTTGATCAGTTACTCCAAATATGGCTTTAAATAAAAAGAACACTACATAATGCATGACACTTATCATTGAGTTGATTGAGTGAATGTATATAATTTAATAATGAGATATCTGTGAGGCATATATGTACATGCAAATATTGCTATATTAAACAAAGGAAAGGGGGGAATTCAAATTAGGAAGAAAAAGATCGTTTTTAAGTAAATCAGTCTGGCAGTATGGCAAAATGGATGCAGTTGCGGAGATTTATGGATAATAAGAGCATGCTGTCTGGAATATTTCCATATAGGGAATTTAATAGCAAAAAAAGTGAAAATACCGGTGGTGCTTTTCATGTATTACATGTGTATTTTAAAATTCCTAATAGCCCAAGGGGATTCCTCAGTGCAGAAAACCACTAGCCCAATCCTCGAAAAATGGAAGCCCCGGGTGTCGCGCGATGCTAATTACACACCCATCATGTGAAATAGTTATAGTAGCCCTATATTAATTTCAGTATTGTTTTAAATTAATTAAAACAAATGCCAAAAACAATAATTTAAAAAAAATCAAAATAAATCAGACACTCAAAATCAAAGACAGAAAGAAGTACTGTTTTGACTGGACGTTTTTCAGTAATACAATGAAATTCAATCTCTTACATATCAGATGAGATAAACTTACATACATTTATTTAGTTGTTGTCAATTATCCCATTTATCATCATCTCAGCTCACTTTGCGATTGTAATACTGTCTACATGAACCGATAATTTACAGCTGATTTATGAACACACAATTGTTAAAATTTTCATTTCCCTTTCCAATATACATTGTCAGAACATACTTAGTTGGTTACGATATAAAATTAAATAATTAACTTTTTCGATTTATTAAAGATTATCTAACAATATACGATCATTTACTAAATACTTCTCGCCCTCAAGAGAGTCAAAAAGACAGAGAAAATTCAAAATACATACAAGTGCAACTTAGGATTAATTGTTCCGATATATCTATTTTAATTTTGTGCACAATTGTTTTCAAAATTACATTAAAATCAATTTTCCTTAAACAAGAACCCAGCAATAGATAAATATTAATCGAATAAACTTACCTTTTCTCTTGTCAATCAGACAATCTTGTTGACATTAAGTGTTTCTTAGTCGTCATATTTTTTTCTATGAAAACAAACGTTGTTATGATCAGGATCAACGGAAGTTGATTTTCGGAACTCTCGAGAATTTAGAATTCCGAATGTAAAACTGAAACACAAAACACGGTGCGTCCGTGAAAGCAACTTTTTTGGACACTTTTTTGGACAAATCGTCGTGTCCAAGTTTTGTTGGGTACTAACCTGCAAATACCCAATTAGGGTGTTTTAAGCATATTCAGCGACACTTCTTATTGGGTATACCCAATAAGCAAATAGTACCCAATAAGTACAATCTTGGCATGAAAAATACCCAATAAATGCACTCTCGTAAACACGGACGGACAGACAGACGGACGGACGACGGACAAAATGTGATCAGAAAAGCTCACTTGAGCCTTCGGCTCAGGTGAGCTAAAAAAAATGTCTTAAATATTATGTGTTTAAATAATGAATCTTTTTTTTAATGTCGGAGCATCAATGTTATTTATAGAACAACCTGTGAATGTTGGAAAACCCCACATGTGCATTAAGAAGTGTATTGCTTTTACCGTTCATACTATCTGACAGCCATCAATTACATTTTTATGGTTTTTAATTAATATTTTCATCAACTACAAGCTTGATACTTAGTAATATACCAGTAATTAAATTGCAATGAACAAAAATTGACAGCTAGGCTATTGCATCATACCCCGTGCCACGATACGCACTGAGTTCACAACATTGAGTTGGCGGGAGATCGTGATCGCATTACCGCCATGCAAAAACGGCCCTAAGAAATCACCGCTTTTAGCAGCTGTTTAAACAGTTTGTAAGGTAAAATACATTTAATCTGTATTCCTACGAACTACAGTAGAACCCCGTTATTACGATGTTCACTTTGTCACGGTAAAATATCGTAATGCCGAGGGCAACGTAATAAAAGTTCCCAATAAAATCCAGTAAAACATCGTTTGGAAAACGTGTTATTGTATTAGGGGGTGTATTTTTCTCCTTCTATCTCCTTTTTATGCTCAAATTCTGCTATATACACTTAATTCATTGATTACTTATCTTTAAAACTTATTTTCATGATGCTATTTCTTCTTTTTCCATCATAGTAAAAGCATAGAGCACATTTTTTAATAGAAACTTCGACAGTCTTCTTTTAATTGCCACCATTTTGGATAACATGTACTTTCACTTTCGTTTCTATCCAGATAATGCGTTCGTGAAAATTTCAATGTGTTTGTAAGAAATTCAATATCTTTGTATTTTATTTAAAGTCATTTCTAAATAAACAGCAACATTTTTTTATTCAAATAAAAAAGTCAAAGTAAATAGACAAGCAATCTGTCAAAATAATTTTTTTTTAAATTACTGAACAGAGTTCAATTAGCAGTTCAGCAATTATCGATTTGTATTTCTGCTGACAACTGAGAGGTAGTCCAAGCCACTACCCAAGCTGTTAAAATGTTTGTAGTGGAGTTCAAATTTTGTCCTAATAATGTTTGATGCCCAAGCTGTTAATTCATGCAGTTTATTTGCAAACGAAATTACACAATATGTGTACCTGTGTACAGCATACATGCATAATATTAAATATACCCTTTTATTTATCACATTAAATTTATTAAACTAAGTATAAAATAAAGAATAAAAGAATTTTAAAAAATACAGAGATAGATAAAGAAAAAGCTAGATTTATGAGTAAACTTTAATTGTTTAGCAATGGCTTTGGCACCTCTCCAAATCTGCTGGGCTCGCTGGAACAGTCCAGGTGGGTGCAATCAAGCGTTACTAATCACCTAACTGCCCTGTAAGTTAACACTCTCTCAGAGCACAGGTGTTCCAATGTTTATTTAGCGTCTCCTTAAGTGTCTACCAGCAATCAATACTGAATAAACACGGAGTGAAAAAATTTTTGACATAATTTTTACATCGTAATACCGAGACCTGGCGTTTTTGGACAACGTAATAAACGGTTCTTTTTTGTATAGATTTGTTAAGAAATGGTTTTGTGCTTTGAATTTACAACGTAATAAGCGTTCTATCTTATAAAACCGTCACCGTAATAGCAGGTCTCTACTGTATCTGGCGCGATAACATACTCCCGACAGAGTTCTCTTTCTTTTATTTAGATCGACTTACCTAAACGGAGGCGCTGTTGACACATACGGTCAGAAGATATTCTTCCACATCCTCACAAGAGTTTATTCAATTTAGTTTGTTTTTTTTATTTGGTTTATCTTGTCTTCAGTAGCGAAAATTAAATGAAAATAACAAGGTTTTTGATTATAATAAGAACTTGGTGAGTAATTTTCACAACAAAGGTAGAATAGAATTAAAGAAAAGACGAGGACTATTTTATCTTGCTCATGTTTACTAGAATACACAGTGAACTCTTTGCCGTAAAAATACACCGGGAGCTATATGGCTTCGTAAGCCATAAAAAGTATTCAGTTGTAAATTATTAAAATAAAATAATGAAAACAGGTGTTATGTTCCCTATGTGCAATTTTCGAGCCATCCGAGAAGTCATTCGGAATACTACAGATGTTTTTAAGCGGGATTGATGTTGAAAAATTAAAGTCGGGATCGTTATTGAATAAATTAATGTGCATCATGGCAGTCTCTCCAGTTTGCCTCGGACGGTAATTTTCAAGCTGGGTTGAATTGCTCTCGAGTCTTATTCTTATAAACTGGTCAATCAGTACTGATCAATCACTCATCAGGAACAAACCTACTATCAAATTTTATTTTTAACAAACTTCTTAACTAAAGGTTAAAAAAAAGATGACAACGTATAAATATGTTCATTTACAATTTTATCATACTCTGTGGCTTTCCCATTCTTATGCTTCTGAACTTCATCAGCCGCTATTACTTCGTATCAGTAAAGCTGTATGAAGCCAGTTTCATACAATTAAAGATAAGAAAAAAGATTAAATAGTTGACTTTGCTTGTTTTTTTCCTTTTTATTTGTATGAAGATATTTTTCCCAATTTCAACCAAATATCGCTATTTTTCCCAATCTTGATGGCCCCGGCCCCTGAAATCAAAGAGTAAAAAAGTCCCTGCGATTACGCTGTTCCATTTAACACAAGAGGGAAAATTTGTTCGCTTGGCTTGCCTGAGTATGGAATGCAGACGATATGAGCTTTTGTTGCATTTAAATAGCCTTTTTAAATTACAAATTTGTAATGTGTATTGATTGATTTTAATGAATATACAATATCAAGATCATGTTCTAGTCTGGTCCGATTTATAGAAAAAAATACTTCTAACGGCAAATAATTATTATTTGATTCAGCATAGTTTTTTAACCTAATTCGAGTATGCTGAATCCGAAAAAATATGCTGGCCTTCATGAAAATGGCGTTCAAGAGGTCAAAATGGCGATTCAAAATGGCGGACATCCAATTTTTCTAATTTCCTCTCAATATCGTTCAAAAAGTAGAAATAATGTGTGAATATCTTACTGAGTGTAATACAAGTATAAAAATGATAATAGAATGCTAACATTATTAGTTTAATTCAGAAAATTTTGTCGTTTCTACACTTAATTCGAATTTTCTCTGATTTATTTGTCTATTGTTCTATATTCTGCTTTGTTCAGGATTTTACATTTGCAAACATCCATTAATACACTGCAGATTTGTATTATTTCCTCTACATCTCACTATTCTACAACTGAAAGATGGTGCAGCTGTAAGTTAAAAGTCAAAATCGAGATTCAAAATGGCGGATATTCCTTTTTTTCAAATTATTTCTTAATGTCGTTTACATAGGAGAAAAGATTTGTGAATATCGTACTGAGCGAGTACAATTTATTATGTAAAATTCCAATAGAAACTAATACTGTAGACGTACTTTTTTCCACTAGGTCATAATTCCATGGAATCTCAATTTCTGTTTAATCCGCGGGTAGAAAATTACGCGTATTTTCCAGATTGTAACTATATGCCTTACATTGATATTAAGTACACTTGGACAAATTTCCGCGCAAAACTTGTGACCGTGTACATAGCGTAAATTAATACCACGCGGAAAAAAGTACTTCTACAGTATGATCACTTTAAATCGGAAAATTTAGTCGTTTAAATTTAAAATATGTTAATTATCTGAAAATGGCGATTTGAATTTCGTAAAATACTCAAACTGCTGAATTTTGAGTCGTTTTGCAGAAAATAAATTACAGTTTGTTTTTTATATATCCAGTATATTATTTATTCCATTAAATATGAATAAACAAAATATACTAGAAAAGATTCATTTTTTTCTGGAAATAGTTAAAACAAACTCGACTTAAGAGTTTCCAAAATTTCCCCCTCGTATTTGACCGTGTTCCAAAGCCTTTGAGCCTCCGGGGGTCCACCTAAAATCACGCCTGAATCCTGTCTTTATCATCTCGCATTTATACCTCAATATCCCTCAGCACACCATCAAATATAACTGAAGAAATTCTTGTCTGATTTCATTGAATACTTTATTCTAGCTTATTAGCACTTATAAGAACTTAGTATTATCCCCTAACATCTATTCCAGCTTTATTTGCTATGTGTTTCAGTCTGTCTTCGGAATTTTGGTATCTTCAACACTCAAGTAAAATGGTGCCCTGTGTCAAGGATGACAACCCACTTGGTACATGTACGTTAAAGATCTTTTCTCTGGAGTTTGAAAAAGAGTAAGCTCACTGGGGACTGCCAAAGAAACCAAAATTCTTCAAAAACCGATTATTTAAACTGATAGTCTGTTAAATTTTAAAGTTAAAAGTCTATTTTGATTTCCAAAACCTTATGCAAAATAAAGACAAGAGGCCCAGGGGCCACAGCGCTCACCTGAGCACATCAGGCTTGAATTTACTCCACCCCCCCCCTTCCAGGCGTTCATCATTTGAACAAACTAGAATCTAAACTACCTGAGGATGATTCCATATAAATATCACTAATCATAGCTTTGAAGTACTTGAAAAGAAGATTTTAAAAGGTTTCCCTATATATCCCTATGTAAAACTTGGGTCGGCCATTTTGGCCCCACCCTA